GTGCCAAAGTTGTATTCTTTCACCCTGCTTCATCAAACTGTATGCTGAGCAAATAATACAAGAATCTGGATTATATGAAGAAAAATGTGGCATCAGGATTGCAGGAAGTCGTATTAGCAACCTGCAATATGTAGATGATACAATCTTGTTTGCTGACTGCAAAGAGAAACTTTAAATACTTATAATGATCAAAGACCACAGTCTTTGATGGGTTGCATCTAAGTGTAAAGAAGACAAAAATCTTCACCACTGGACCAAGAAGCATCATCCATAAAAATGGAGAAAAATTAAATTTGTTAAATACTTTATTTTTCTTGGATCAGCCATCAACACTCATGGAAACAGCAGTCGAGAAATCAAAGGATATATTACATTAGGCAAATCTACAGTGTAAGACTTCTTTAAATTGTTAAAGAGCATTTGAGAATTAAGGTGTGCCTGACCGAAGACATGGTATTTTCAACAACCTCATATGCATGTGTAAGTTGAACAGTAAATTAGGAAGATCATAGAAGAACTGATGCATTTAAGTTATGGTGTTGGAGGAGAGCATTGGAAGCCAGTACTGACTCAATGGCACCTAACAACAACAGTCCAATGGACCAATGGATCAGGTGAACATCCTTCACCATTACATTAAAACCATAAGAATTACATGGTGCCCAGCTACCACTACCAACTACTGTAAAAGGGTCACCTTGAAGGACCTGGATAAAGTGGAAGGAAATATGGACTGAATCTCAAAAGTATTTAAAACCAGGCTTACTTGTCATAAAGAGACTGGAGAAATAAAAGATGAAAAAAAAAATATTAGTAGAGGTCAGTGGTAAAGATAAGAACATTCATTGAGATTAACAGATTGGCATAGGAGCTGCAGATTGGAAGCTTGAAAATATATTATTGGAAGTAAATCAAATTTGGATGGGCTCAACAAATTGATTTGCTTATGGAAACATGGAAATTTTTTCAAGTGATTTTGGAAGGAAATGGGAAACAGAAAAAAGTTCTGTCTGAGTTGGTGGGTACAGATTCATAACAGAACAGAAATATTGGTGATGTTCAGGGCAAGCAACATTTTAGCACAGTCAGTATCTACAATCCAAAGACAAACACCACCAACCAAAGACAAAAGGGACATTTTTGTATCAAAACCACAATTCAGTGAAAAGCATTTCAATATAAGTAGAAAGGGTCCCTGGGTGGCACATATAACTACCTATTCAACTATTAACAGAAAGTTTATCAGTTCAAACTCACCCAAAGGCACCTTGGAAGTGCTGGGTACCTGCTTCCAAAACAGCCAATCCCTGAACAGCCTATGGAGAATTTCTACCTTGTACACATGATGTATGCTTGAGTTGGAATCAACAGCATCTTAGAACAAATAATCTATGAGTTGGTGGTTTGAACCCACCCAGCAACATCAAGGAAGACCTTCTTCAGTAAAAAGTCCAGTCAAGAATATCTTATGGACAACAGAGGCAACAAATCTTTATAGCAAAGATCATTGCCACTCACTCGATACACAGGGTAGACAAGAATGGGCAACTTGGACACTGACTACCCAAAATGGGGAGGCTACAAAGGCAATAAGTGACTGGCTTACAAGGTTTCA